TTGCCTCACTTACTAGCTCTTGATACTTCCTCCAAGATTTTTAATCCCTTAGTCTGATTTTCTAAACTTCTCAGACTACCTTTCCAGTCTTATCCATTCTATATACTTAACTGTTCCTGCCATGGTTTATCTCATTAAAGTCCTGAGTATGTAGTCCCATGCCCTCCAGTTAGCTAGTCTTTAAAATGGGAGGGCTAGTATTTTTTACTACAAACCAGATTTTTCTTTGGTTTCCCTGGTTTAGTCCTATTATGTAATATGACAAGATCATAAAATTTAACAATTCCAGCATAATTTTACTTTTAATACCAGACTACAGAGCATTTAGATGCTTATTGTTTGTTGAATATATGAACCTTAAGGGTCTGTTTTTTTTTTTTTTAAGGCTCATTAACCTCACTGAAACACCATAAAGATAACGTTTCAGTCATCAAAACTGGAATGGACTGTGGTCTCAGTTTGGATGAAGAAAAGATAGAATTTAAAGTGGGAGATGAAATTGTTTGTTATGAAGAAAAGGAAGTTCTAACGAAGACCTCTTGGGACCCAGGATTTTAAAATTTTATTAAAAATGTTAAGGATTAAATAATCTTGCTTTATTATCAAGCAACCAGTATGCTTTATATAAGGTAAGAACTCACCACTTAGTGGTCAGTAAATGCCCAATTCAAGCATTAGCATGCCTAACTGTCAAAATAGAACAATGTAAATTTAAGGATGCCTGAAACCAGAAATCCTGGTAATACAGTAAAAAGGAATTGTTCATTGACCTATCATGGAATGTAAGAATCAGTTAATGAACTTCAAGTGACTGTTTTACTTAAGAGTGGTACCAAGACAGGCAATCCTCTCTGAATTGAGCTCCTTGGGCAAAATAAGGTACCAAATACTGCTTGAAACCCTATTCTTCAGTATCAACAAGACTAATGAGCAAACATTCTAGTCTGAATCCCTTCAAGAGGTCACACTCAACATCAAACAGTAGAGTGTATTCCTCATACTACAGACAGCAAACATCCCAGCCAAGCCACTCAGGGACTTACGATGGACTTCTGAATGGACAGTTTACAGCTCAGTCTTTAAAATGTGTGAAATATGTCATTACTTCTTCTTAGGCAATGTTTTAACACCAATTCACACAAATCAGTGCTTCTCAGTTTGCGGGTAAGGGTTAGTCCTCCCACACCCAGGGGTCATCTGGCAATACATGCATGTACTTCTGATTGTGGTAGTGAAGGTAGAGTGCTACTGGCATCGTGCGGGTAGAGGACAGGGATGCTATTCATCCTATGATGCACAGAGTAGCTCCCACCTGGTCCAAAGTATCAGTAGTGCTGAGGTCAAAAAAATGGACAGAAACACAAACTGCTTTATCTAGACAGGTAATAGTCTAGACACTTTATCTAAACACAATGCAATTTACTGCCAGTGTATAATTTATCAAAGAAATGGTGTGGTCTGTCAATTTGACACTTTAAAAAGTCACTGGAATAAAACAATAATTAAATGTCACTTCATGTCTTTTATTAACTCATATACAATTACTTGTCTTCTGGTTTGTTGAAGCAATAGGTTAGACAACATTTGCCACAATAATGTCTGTCAAAGTGGCTGGCCATAAAAACTCCAGCACCACATTCATCTGAAGGGCACTCCCGACGAAGGCGACTGATTTTGCCATTCTCATCCACCTAAAAAGTACAAATCTGCTGGTTAAGATAATTTTACAAAATATTCCAAAGTCTAACTTAAGTGGCTCAAAATATTTAGCCTCTTAATCACACAACAGTTTTTAGTACCTATAGACGAAAGCATCCCAAATTCTCACCAGTAATCACTACAACACATACGTGCATATTCAGAGCTCATTCAAGTCCAGCCTTGAGGTGGAAGCAGTACAGAACTAAGACCTGAACCCAGTTCTGACTTCAAAATCAAAAGCCTAGTTTGCAACAAGCAGCTAAAGGTAAACCCCATTATCAAAAGCTTATTCAACTATTAATCAGGAAAAAAACCCTTCATATTAAAGAGTTTGAAACCAGAGATGCCAACAAAACTTATTAATGTAGCCCTAACTGTGTGGCTTGGTTAGGCCTTTTCTTACAAAGCAAAAGGTCACCAGTTAAATTCCCAGTGAGGACACATATGAGAGGCAACCGATCTGTTTATCTCTCTTCTTTCCCTCCCTTCCATCTCTTTAAAAATCTTTAAAAAAAATTATTAACCTAATAAGTAAAAATGTACTTTTAATAAATTGGCTCAATTTCAACTGTGTTTCTTTTCTTTTTTTAAAGATTTATTTGCTTTTAGAGAGACAAGAGAAACATCAATTGACTACCTCTTAAATGCCCCCATGTCTGACCTACAATCCTGGCACATGGCCTGACTGGGAATCCAACCAGTGACCTTTCCATTTGCCGGATGACACCCAACCCACTGGGCCACACCAGTCAAACCTCAATTGTGTTTTTTTGATTCATGTATTTGTATTTCTTCTTTTGTAAACTGTATATTCACTGTTCATTTTCCAATGGAGATGTTCATCTTTATTTCCACTGGAACTTTTTGTGTATGTCGCAAATACTTCCCATTTTCACATCATTAAAGTTACTGTTTAAAACGCATAGTATATATACTTTTTAATTTGATGTACTAATATTTTTCCTTTATACTTTTTCCCAACTCAGTTTTTCTTTTCCCAATTCAAGGTTTTTACAAGAGTTACATGTGTTCTTCCACTTTAGTCTAGTTTCATTTTTCCACATGTAACTCTTCAATCCTGTGGCTCTATTATCATCTTCCTCCAGCTATTCCTAGGTTAAGTGATTGTTTTATTCAGAATTAAAATGCTACTTTTCAAGTACAAAATAGTCTGTATGCTTGAGAAATAAAGAAATAGGCTCACTTTGTAGTATTTCAGGACAGCCAGCTTAACCTTCTTTCTCTTATGTTTATTCTTCTTGGGAGTGGTGTAAGACTTCTTCTTCCTTTTCTTAGCACCCCCACGAAGTCTCAACACAAGATGAAGAGTGGACTCCTGTTAATGAAACACAGCATGAGACAGGCTTTAAAAAACAATCACATTAATACTCATGCTCCATTAACAACAGAAAACTAGCACCACACATCTGATTAGATGCACCAGGAAGCACACAATCCACAGATGAGGAAGTCTTGGGGTGGGGTGGGGTGGGGGAGTCTGATTCTTTAGTAGATTCTTAATGCAGAGATTATTTAACATTAAATTACACCATGGGATGCACAAGATTCCAAGATGTGAGAACTAGCGCACTGCTTCTCAATTATTAGGGTAAGCATTACCTGGGAAATCGTGCCACTCTAATGTTAATCTTCCCACTTATGTGTACTTGTCAAAAATTTTAACACCAATTTATACTTAAAAAGCTGATCTTTTCAACTAACAGACCTTTTGAATATTGTAGTCAGACAACGTACGCCCATCTTCCAGTTGCTTGCCAGCAAAGATCAGTCTTTGCTGATCAGGAGGAATTCCTGATGGAAAAAAGAAAAGTCACAACAGGACAAGCCTCTGCTCAAGGTGTACAAATAATCCTGAATCAAATTGCACTAATAGCTGTTAAAAGTTCTTACTGCATACCAAGCATAGTTTTAAATGTTTACATATTTCACTGTAATCCTTACCAGTACTTAATACATCGACATAATCATTTTGCAGAAGAGAAAATGGGCGTACAGAAATAGGTCATCCAAGTTCACATATGTGAAATGCCCTGCAGCTTGGCCCCACGCTCATAAACGTTTGTCTGCAGCGTTACTCCAGGAACATTTCACCATGTGAGTCTGCCCTCTCCCCACCCGCCAACAGCAGGTATGTCTAGCACCTGCAGGGAGGCTGGAGCTTCTGGGGGTGAGTACTCCTGAACTTGAAATTACTTGCCTTCCTTATCCTGGATCTTGGCCTTTACATTTTCTATCGTATCCGAGGGTTCAACCTAAGAGTTTTAAAATGCAAAGGTATTAGTGACACAGTAAGAAACTACAACACACGCTCACTTCAACACGGTCACCACAGAACCGTGGCGCGCGGGCGGCCGCACTTCCCCGGCCCGGCCAACCCCTCTCCCGGTGACAGGCCCCCTCCCAGGGCTGCGAGAGGGGCCCCCTCCCTCTGGCCGGCCCCGGGGCTGCGGCGGCGGGGCCACCCGTGCTCGCGCCCACCGGCCCGGCGCCTGCCGCACCCCCGCGGGACCCCTGCTTTGCCCGCCGCTGGAGACGATAAGCTCAGACTTCGGGCACGCAAAACCAGCCCCGGGGCCCTGTTCGGCCAACAACCCTCCATCTGGGGCCAGCTTTCGGAACCCGGGCTCAGAAACAGGTTCTAGGCAGAAAGCAGCGCGGGCGCCGGTGTCCCCCTCGCGGCCTTACTCGGGCCACGACTCCCTCACACCACCTGGCCCGTACCTCGAGCGTGATGGTCTTCCCCGTAAGGGTTTTCACGAAAATCTGCATCCTGGCGGCGATTCCACCTGAGGTGGACAGAAAGGAAGGGACGGGTTAGAGACGCGGGCAGAGAAGGAGACGGGGACGCCGCCGGCCAGGGAGCGCCGGGGAAGCACACACTCACCGCAGATGGCGGATCGGAAAGGAAGAGCGCGGCCCAGGCCCACAGGGTTTCACGGCGCCGCCGCCGCTGGAGGTCCCACCCCTTAGGCGACCGCACGAAATGCCTGACGGCTCTCACAGCCCCTGTCTAACCACGTGCCAAACTAGCTCGTGAACCTCATTTCTTCTTCTATTTTGGGCTTATTTCTCACTTTTATGTCCAGAATTCTATTGGGATAATAAAATTAAAAAACTTTAAAACGTCTTTAAAAGGCTTTTCTCGTACAGTGAACGTGGCTAAGAGGGGTCTTTAAAAAGGGGTGGTATTAAGGGAGCCTCATTCTGGAAAAGGCGGAAATGGAAGTGTCTCCTGGGAATTGTAGTTTTTCACTGCTTTCTTCGGGCTGGAACTACTCGTCCCAAGATGCAGTTCCACAAGCTCGGTTTCCTAGTTACTACCTCCAAGCACTTGGCGTTGGGGTTTGGAGGAAGGGATTAGGGTGAGAAGGGAGGAAGAGTGAAGCGGAGAAACGCTTTCAGAGAAGGTGGAAACGGGTCGGAAATGACTCGGAGGAAAGGGTAAGAGGCTGGGGAAGCGTAGTGGGACGAAAGTATTGTTCTCTTACTTACAGAGGTGGTTAGGGGTCGAGGATCAGCCCGTTACCATCGGCTGCTCCTTGGGCGCGCAAGGGAAGGGAGTTCCTGTGGCCAATTTAAGTCAAACTGAAAAGTAGGTGATATCTTCCAAAAGCGCGGGTTCATCCTTTTTTTTTTTTTTTTTTGCTTCCTTGCCCCTCCTAGCTCCTCCTCCTCCTACCCCCATGTCTCTGCTAGTGTAAGGTTTCTGCGCCTGGTTTGTCGTGTGAAACGGTTTAATATGTTGGGAATCCTATGTTGGTTTTTAGATTTTGAAATGAAGCCATACTGGAAAGAAATCAGTGGAGGGGTTATTTAGTTGTAGAATTTACAACTTTGTACATTGTGTGTGGAAGTTAAGGTCCTAAGAGGAAGACTTTGGAGTATGTATAGGATGCTCTCCTGCCAAGGCGGGGCAAATAATGACAAGGGAGTTATGTCCTTACCTTGGCCCTTGTCCACTGCACAAACCACGGAATCCTTTCTAATGTACCCTCCTAATGCCATCTCCTTTTATCTCTGTGTCTTCCCCTCTGCATCCCTGACCCCAAATCCAGGGCCTCCTTAATTTTCTTCTGGAAGTTTTCAGTATCTAACTTCTGACCTGTCTCTAGTCTTTCTCCTTTTCTAACCCGCCTTCACTTTTGTCTACAAAATATTCTAGAAGGTAAAAGCATTGTGTCATTATTCTACTTCACCTTCAGGATAAAATCCAAATTCTTTAGCGTGATATTCAGCCTCTGCCTCCCTTACATCCTAATCTGCCAAACTGATTCACTTTATACTATTGAGATAATTGAAGTTCCTGGCTTACTTAAGCTCTTTCATGCTTTGGCACATCTGGATAATCCATTTCTTTTTTCTGTAATGTTCTTTGTCCCATACTCTTCCAACTAGTCTCTACCTTTACAACAAAACTCCTTGAAAGAGTTGTGTGTTCTCATTGTCTTCATTTCCTCCCCTTTCATGGACTGAACCCACTCCTGTCAGCCTTTTGTCTCCACTGTTCTAGTGGAGTAACTCTTGTGCTCACTAAGCACCTCCACGTTACTAAATTTGACGGTCATTTAATCTTACATGTTCTGCCAGCAGCATTTGATGCAGTCTATCAGTCCCTCCTTTGAAACACTTTCTGCACCTGACTTCCAGGGTACCCCTCTCACTTCTCCCTCCCTGGATACTCTTTCACAGGCTCTTTTGCTTGCTTCATCTTGAACTACTAGACCTCTACGCTTTGGAGTTACCTCTCCAAGGCCCAGTCCTTTGACCTCTGCTTTGTTTACATTTCCCAGGTCTTTTTCATTCTATGTCACAACTTTTAAATACCATTTGTATGCACACCACCCCCTTGAACTGCAGCTTTACATACCTGCCGCCTACTTAACATCCCTAATACGCAAGCCCCAGACTCCTAATCTCATGAAAAATAAATAGTAAATAGTACTTCCTATCTTTCTTAGAATCTATAAGGCCAACAACCTTATGGCCATTTTTGACTGCTTTCTCATATCTACAGCAAATCTTGGCTTTGTTTTAAATGTACATGCAGAACACTTCTCACCATTGCCACTGCTACTATCCTGATTCAAGCCGCTATTGTCTTTCTTCCAGATTATTTCAGTAGCCTCCTAACAGTTCTTCAGGCTTTGGCCCTTGGCTTCACAAAGCAGCAAGAGCAATTCTTTGAAACTGTGAGTCAGCTGCCCTGGCCAGGTAGCCAGGGTTAGAGGGTCATCCTGATACACCAAGGTTTGTGGGCCCAGTCTCCAGTCAGGGCACATACAAGAAGTAACCAATGAATGCATAAATAAGTGGAACCACAAATCAGTGTTTCTCCCTCTCCTTCCCCCCACCTTTTTCCTTCCTCCTTCCCTCCTTCCCTTCCTCTCTTTCTAAAATCAATACACGGAAAAAAAAAAAAAAAGAAAATGCAAGTCAGGCGTCACTCTTCTGCTCACAGCCTTTTGTTGGCTTCCCATCTCACTCAGAGTTAAGCCTAAATTCCTGTAAGTGAGGCTGTCTCTCCAGCACTGGAGTGCCTGAAGGCCACAGTCCTCTTGCCGTCTGTCCAGAGAAAGGACACCTTTTTCTAATCTGCACAGAGGTGCTCATGTGCTGGTACTGGTTCTGCCTTCAAGGCCTTGAATCCCACACGATTCGCTGCTACCTATTCTGACCTCATCTCTTCTCTCTTTTTCTCATTCTCTTCTAGCTCCACTGGCCTTCTCGCTGTGACATTCAGCTGTGTTCTGATGTCATGTCTTCTGAGAGATAACTGCTCAGTGATTATTCATTATTGAGAAAATATTTGGTACTTACTCTGCTAGAAACTGCTATGCACTGGAATGCACATGGGTGGAGAAGAATAGTTGGGAATGAGAACATTTTGGTTCCTGATCTTGTTAAACTTACCACCTATTGGGAAAGACTATTTACCAAAATGGAGAAGTTGTTAAACTTTTCATATTAAGTGAAAAAATTTAGGATACAAAACTGAACAAGAGTGATCCTAACTTTTATAATTATAAAAATTGGGCCTACCTAGTGTGGCTCAGTGGGGTGCTTGTGGGCCTGCGAATCAAAGAGTTGCTGGTTTGACTCCCAGTCAGGGCACATGCCTTGGTTGCAGGCCAGGTTCCCTGTGGGGGGCATGCAAGAGGCAACCACATATCCATGTTTCTCTCCCTCTCTTTCTTCCTCCTTTCCCCTCTCTAGAATAAATAAATACAATCTTTAAAAAATTGGAAACAAATATACCAAAACATTAAATAGTTTAGGTGGTGGGGTTCTGAATGACGTTTGGATTTTGTTCGTTTTATATTTTCCAAAATTTATGCCGTGATTATATACTTCTGTAATGGGGAGAGGAGGGAGGAGTTAAAATGTTTTGCCTTGCTAGACATTTTTAAGTGAGCATGCGCTGTGTCTGATGTTAATGGGACACGATCTCAGGAACAACTGCTGGACCCAGCTCTTACACTCAGCTGGTTAGTGATTTTTCCTGAGAGAGCAGTAGGTTGGAGCTGTTTGAAAACTGTGCTCAGAAAGGTGCCTTTGGTGATCTTTGACATCATTGATGGATGGAGTCTAGAGAAAGTTCTGACTTGTTACTTTTCAGTTAATACACTCATATTAAAGATAAGCATCATAATCAAGTTTATTGTCAAAGTAAATACACGAATTATTTACAGCTGTCGTGCACTGGATGACTGTGACTTGGCCAGGGAGGCATGTGGGTAAAGAAGTCTTCAACCTTGCTAGTGCCATCAGGAGGTTTTCAAACTTGTGTTCTCACGTGAAACAAATAAAATGCTAAGCCTTCTGTTAGAAGGTGTTGAGTATTGAGAAACCATCACTCATAGGACATATGTATCCTGGTTAGTAATAGTTCTTTACTGGTATTTCTACCCCAGAGGGATAGCATGTGAGAGCAGGATAAATTAGACCTTTTAACTCACTGGGTGAAATATTTATCTCAGAGATCTGTGGGATAGTTTTTATACTCGTATCAGATGACTGTTTGACTTAATTTATTTTAAGCTTTAGATTCACTGATGGCTTTTTTTTAATTTCAGGCTTATCAAAGGTTTGGCATTGTTGCAAAAGCAAGTCAAGACTTAACGTTTTTTCTGGTGAATAAGTATGCAGATTATGACATGTCGGTTCAAGAAATAAGTAAACATGCAGTTCTCCCTCCTATCATTAGTAGAAGTGACGAGGAATTTTTGGAAAGTATGCAAAGATACATAATTACAGAAACTGAAAGAGTGGGCTGTAATGAGGAAGGACCTGCTGATGAGTATTACATCATATACCGAAACGTTTTTGATAAGGTATCATTATACTCTTAAGACAATGGAATTTTCATGGGGAAGAAAATGTTTTTTTTGGCACAACTAATATTCCTGTCTAACAACACCATTGCTTGTTTGACTCCATGTGTCAATGTGTCAATTTTGAGATGTTTTCTGTCTTGTTTGAAAGGGGTGAATGGGGAAGGTGCAATGCCACATCTATTACTATACAGTTAACGAGTGATTTGACTGTTTTAGCTAAAGTGCAGGCTACCAGGTTTTGTTAACCAGTTTTTGAGCAACACCTAGCTGTGCCCTCTAACAGCATTTTGACCTTCCATCTGAAAGTATTATCTGATATGTGAGGGATTGCCTTAGTGGTTTAGTCATTAAGGAATATATTAGATGGGTATTTAAAGGTAGCGTTTTGCATAGGTTTCATAAATACCAAGAATCATGCTGAGACTCTACATTGTGAAACTGACAAAGGAAAGTCATCATAACTGTGACATGCTTGTCTTTGAATGCTCAAATGCTGACACTTGTCCAAGTCACATGAAGAACTGTCTGCTCTAAGTTAATATAGTTATAGTAAAGTCATATTGGAGGTAGTTTTGGTAAATTTTTTTGACTACGTAATTCACTCGGACTTTATTAATGCAGGTTCACTTGGCTTTTGTTAATGCAGATTTAATCCAAATCTATGCTAACCTAATACCAATACTAAATCACTCAGAAACAATCAGTAACAACATCATGTGAGAGAATTGGGGGAAATGAACTGGAGGAAACATTTCTGTTTTCCTCCATTATTCTTCCAAACATAGTCTATACTTAAACACATTGGAAGCCATGAGTGTATAGTGATGAGGGGTTTCCTACATTACTTGATATAGACATGCCATTTGAAAACTGAGTATTGATCAGCCAGTAGAAGCTAATAGGTTAGAAAAACAGGAAGGTGAAGGGAGTCCAGGATTTCAAGATCTGAATGAAGTCAGAGACTGGATTTGGAAGTGGTAAGGGATGATATGGAAGTATATATAAAAGATCCAGAATTGGGATAATTAGACCTGGTATTGTTTTTAAGTGCCATTGTATAACGTATGCATTCATACCAAGTAGAAAAAAATATGACCTTTTTTTCTCTCATATTTAAGCTCATAGTACTGTAATGATTCACAAGGAGCACAATTCAGGAAATACTGTCTTTAATACACAGTTGTATTTGTGCAAACTCTAAATTTGTAAAATTTTAGACTTCTAATCGCTTGTCTTGTTTTATTTAAAAAGTTATCTAGCCCTTGCTGGTGTGGCTCGGTGGATTGAGTGCCAGCCTGCAAACTAAAGGGTCACTGGTTCAATTCCCAGTCTAGGGCACATGCCTGAATTGTGGGCCAGGTCTTCAGTTGGGGGTGTGTGAGAGGCAGCTATACATTGATGTTTCTCACTCCCTTTCCCTCTCTCTAAAAATAAAGATACAAAACAATCTGTAATGCTGTTTGCAAGGCTTTTGATCCACAGTGTTCTAGAAAAAAATTCAGTAGCATAGGCAGAAAAATCGTATTTCAGGTAATAGAATATGTCACTGCGTACAAATCCATTCTTACTTCAATCAAAAAAGAATATGACGCCTTTATTGAGAGAATAAAGAAAGACCAAAGAACTGCATTTAATCTCCATGGAAAACTTAAAGTTTTGGCAGCAGAGCCCACAACATTGGTATATCACAGGAAAAGGACAATCCAACTTGAAGCCAAGTGAGTATATTGGTAAAGAGCCCCCAAAATTATAATTGTTAACTTGGTTGTATTAACTTTCTGGTGTAACTATAACCAGTAGTTCTCAGTCTTTTTTAATTATAATTTTATTTTAAAGCCATGTTTTCATGTTACTTTTCCTACCAGCTTGAAATGACTATTTTTTTCATTTAAAATTCTGTTTGAGAGTGTTATATCTCTTAGGATAATTGGAGGCATGTTGTACTATTACATACTGAGGGTTGTAAGTAGTCGCTCCAGGTAATATCTTGAGTGGGAGAATTTTTGGAAATTTAACATTTATTTCTTTAATTTGTTTTTACATTTTTTATTGTACAAGTACAGTCATTTTCCCTCCAACACTCCCACCCCCGCTCCCCGCCCCAGCCATTCCCGCCTCCCACTCAGTCTCACCTGTGGGTCAGTGTGATAGCTCTTCATCAGATACAAAGCCACCACTGAGGTCCGAAAGGTATGCAGGGTCCGCAACTGTAACTGTTAGTAAGGGTCAGTTAAGTTCATTTTTTTAGTTCACTGCCAACATCTGGACCCATGAGTGGGTCTTCTAATGTAGTGTGAAAAGGCTTGGAACACTGCAGCAGGACTGATGGTCAATACATTTAGACTATTGGATGTCACTCTGAGTTTGTACAAGTCAACCAGAGATACTGGAAATCAGTAATAAGATTTTGGTTAAAAAAGGACAAGAAATGCATTACTTTGCCTGTTACAGAAAACAACTCAGCTGCTTTCGGGCGTGCAGAGTTGAACTTTATTTACGCGGCGGACCCAGAAGAGGCAGTTTCCAAATTCTGGGCCCCGAGCTCAGGCAGGGGCTTGCATATAGAGTGTGGCATGCACAAGCAGTTTTGCTAAGCTATCATGGCAGAAGTGGGTTTACAGAAGCAAGAAAGCGGGACTTGCCCTTCCTAATCTTATTGACTCCGCTGCAAGCCCCCTGGGGAGGCCACTACATGCCTTTTCAATAGTTTGCATTGAGAGTTTATCCACCCCCCTCATTTGCCATTTGACATGATCTCATGAATAATAATAAATTAGTCTGTTATTAATTACTGTTTTAATGGAAAAGAATATGTTGGCTTTGTAACTTTTTAGACTGAAAAGGGAGTTTTTCATGGGTTTTGACAATGTTTTAAATGTTAAATTATATGCCCCCCAGAGCAAGGGACATAAAGGAAAGAATAAACAAATGGAATCTCATCAAAATAAAAAGCTTCTGCACCGATACAGAAAACAGCATTAAAGTGAAAAGAGAACCAACCACATGGGAAAACATATTTGCCAGTGATACTGTGGACAAGGGTTTCATTATCCTAAGTGAAATAAGCCAGGCTGTAAAACACAAATACCATATTATCTCACCTATAAGTGGAACCTAATCAACAATTAGATACTTTTCACTGTGTTACAGCCTGTATTGGGACTTCATTGCTTTTTTTTGTTTGTTTTGACTGAGCAATCCATTGTATGTATACACCATATTTTATTTTCTTACCTGTTGATGAATACTTGCATTGTTTCCACCTTTGGCTGTTGTGAATCTTGTCACTATGAACATTCATGTACAAGGATCTATTTAGGTCCCTGCTTTCAATCCTTTTGAATGTCTGTTTACCTTTAACATTGCTTTTTTTCACAAGCACAGCTTATTTGGGTGAAATCCGAAGATATTTTGTTTCTACAGTCTCTCTTCCATGAACATTTAAGCTCTTGTTCTGAGCAATCTGTAGTTACCAAGAAATCTGTAAATGCATGCAGACAACAGTTATATACTGACAGGCTTGTTTTTAATTTGCCAAAACCCTGTGACATTTATGTATCTAATTTATTATAATCTGTTATTTTCTCCCTTGGCCAACACATCAATGGTAAGCTAGGAAGCAAACTTCATATAATACTTAAAAGTTTTTATCTGCTTCTTGCTCTTTAAGATCCCCGTTTCAGAAGTAAATCAGTTTTACCTCAAAGAAGTGCTGTCATTCCTTTAGCTCTATGACCCAAATTACCATATTTTGCCATGTATACTGTGCTCTCATGCACAATGCACACCCGTGTTTTTGGCCTAAACTTTCAGGAAAAAAAACCTTTTTAAAAATTTTTTAATTCAATTTTTAAATTTATATTTAGAAACAAAACTGATTATTGTATCCCAGGGTATTATTTTGCATGTGGATATCATTATTGCTTTCCAGAGTTACACTTTTAATGCATAAGCATAAATAAAAGAATCAAAAACATTTATATAAATATGGAATTTGAACTACCCATGTATAATGTGCATCCTTATTTTTCCCTCAAACATGTGGGCAGAAATATGCATTATCCTGGCAAAATATGGTATTAGAGTAGGCTGAATAATGGCTCCTAAAGATATCAGGTTCTAATTCTGGGAACCTGGAAATGTTACTTTATTTGGGGAAAGGGTCTTTGCAGATGTTATTATATTAAAGATCTTGAGACAGGGGTATTATCTCGGATTACCCAGGTAGGTGGTCACAAGTGTCCTTATAAGAGAGTGGGGAAGGAGTATTGACCCAGACAGCAGCAGAGTTAGAAGCGATGCAACCTCGGAAGGCCAGTGGCCCCCAGCAGCTGGAAAAGGCAAGGCCTGGATTCTCCCTGAGAGGCTGTAGAGGAAGCATGGTCCTGACCACAGTGTTTTGGGCCCAGTGATACTGGTTTCTGGCCTCCAGGACTGTGTGAGAATACATTTCTGTTGTTTTAAGCCACCAAGTTTGTGGTCATTTGCTATGGCAACCCTAAGAAATGTATACAATTACTTAACAAAAATAAATTTTATTTTATTTTTATAGAAAAATAATTTTAAATTGCAAATTTAATTTTTAACTAAAGGGAAGAGACAGTACTCTGTGGCTAGATTATTATGTTTAATACTTATAAAGTTCCAGGACTTCCGCCAAGATGGAGGCATAGGTGGAAGCACTGCACCCTCTTGCACAACTAAGTTTAAAAACAACAAAAACACAGCCAAACCACAGAAAATTGAACTACATGGAAGTCTGACAACAACGAACCCTTCAGCCAAACAGATAAACCGGTGAAGGAGCTAGCAGTGCGATGGACCATGCAGGCCCCAGTGGTAGGAAGCGGCAGAGGGAACTGCCATTGTCCCACTCTGACCCCGCCCCCACATACAGCGTCACAAACCAGCGACCTGGGTGGCCCTGCCCTGGTGAACAACTAAGGCTCTGCTCCTCATATGTAACAGGCACGAACAGATCAAAACATGGCTCAAGAACAACTCAGAGCCCCAGAGCCCATAAATCTAAGTGATGAAGAAATAGCCAAACTTTCAGATGCACAGTTCAAAACACTGGTGATCAGGATGCTCACAGAACTGGTTGATTTTAGTCACAAATTAGAGGAACATATGAAGGCTAAACTAATTGAAATGAATGGAAATACACAGGAAACCAGTAGTAATGGAAAGGAAACTGGGACTCAAATCAAAGGAGTGGACCAGAAGGAGGAAAAAAATGACCAAACAGAAAAGGATGAAGAAACAAGAATTCAGAAAAAGGAGGAGAGGCTTAGGAACCTCCAGGACATCTTTAAACGTTCCAACATCCGAATCATAGGGGTACCAGAAGGGGAAGAGGAACAGCCACACAAGTGGAAACCTTATTTGAACAAATAATAAAGGAGAACTTCCCCAATCTGGCAAAGGAAATAGACTTCCAGGAAGTCCAGGAAGCTCAGAGAGTCCCAAAGAAGTTGGACCCAAGGAGGAACACACCAAGGCACATCATCAATATTAGCCAAGATTAAAATGAAGGAGAGAATCCTAGAAGCAGCAAGAGATAAGGAGACAGTCACCTACAAAGGAGTTCCCATCAGACTGTCAGCTGATTTCTCAAAAGAGACCTTACAGGCAAGAAGAGGCTGGAAAAAAGTATTCCAAGTCATGAAATCCAAAGACCTACATCCAAAATTGATCTATCCAGCAAAACTTTCATTTAGAATGGAAGGACAGATAAAGTGCTTCTCAGATGAGATCAAATTCAAGGAGTTCATCATCACCAAGCCCTTTTTATATGAAATGTTAAAGGGACTTATCTAAGAAAAAGAAGTTTAAAAAAGATGAACAGTGAAAGGACAGCAAACTCACAGTTACTAACAACCACACCTAAAACAAAAGCAAACTAAGGGGACAGCTAGATCAGGAGCAGAACCATAGAAATGAAGATCACATGGAGGGTTAGCAACAGGGGAGTGGGAGAAGGAGAAGGGGGGAGAAGGTACAGAAGGGGGGAAAATAAGTAGCATAGATGGTAGGTAGAAAATAGATAGGGGGGAGGGCAAGAACAGTATGGGAAATATAGAATCTAAAGAACTTGTGACACATGGTGATAAACTAAAGGGGGGAATGGTGGGGAAGGGATGTGCAGGGTGGAGGGGAATGAAGGGGCAAATAGAACAACTGTAATGGCATAATTAACAAAATATATTAAAAATACTTATAAAGTTCCAATAAGGTTATGTATAAATCATAGTGTTTTACTGTTGCCTTGGAAGAAAATTATGTTGAGGTTAGTAAACTTTGGCTGGGCACTGTTTTGTAAACTTCCACCTAAATCCATAATGGTTAAAAATGGTAACCTGTTTTATTATATATTTTATGATTAAATCATTGTTAGTTGAAAGAAACATAAGAAACCCTTTTTGTTTTTCAGAATGAGGGTTATTGAACATAATTCCTCAAAGATTCAATTGCAAATAGACAAAATAAAACAACTTAGGGCAGAGCGTGACATGAAAGAAGTAAAACATTTTCCTTTCTCCAAAGATCCTTCAAAACCTATTCCAGGTACTGTATTTTGTGTAAAATATTTGAAAGAAATTCTAACTGTTCCCAGTTATCACTTATTATGCATGTATAAATAGCACATATAACTTAATATATGTGTTATGTGTATATTTTCCAAGTATACCAGGACTTTATTCTTATTTTATAAAAAAATTTAGCCAGGATTCTAGGCAGAAACAAGGGAATAAGAAAACCCTAAAAGACTGAAAGAGTTCCAGTCTAACTGGATTATATAATAGTTCACAGTGTGGTTTCTGGTCAGCATCAGCATTAACTGGGAACCTGTCAGAAATGCAAATTCCTTGGCTCCCTTGCAGAGTTACTGTGTCAGAGCCCCAAGGATGGGGGTGGAGTGGGGGTAGGGCTAGAGCCCAAGAGTCAGTGTTTTTAAGTAGGTTTTAGTTATTTATTTTTAGAGAGAGGGGAAGGGAGGGAGAAAGGGAGAGAAACATCAGTGTGTGGTTGCCTTTCACATGTCCCCCACTGGGGACCTGTCCTGCAACCCAGGCACATGCCTTGACTGGGAATCCAACCTGCGACCCTTTGGTTCTCAGACCAGCGCTCAATTTACTGAGCCACACCAGCCAGGGCTCCATGAGTCAGTGCTTTAACAAGTTCCCAGGTTATTCTGATGTACTTCAAGTTTGAGAACCTATGGTATAATACATGTAAAAACTGTAGTGAATTAAGTTCTGGTGAGTATTGTTGACTCATATTAATTTCAGCATTCACTGTTTCCTCATCTTCAGCTAAGCCTCATTTTAAGAAATTGTAGTGTATCCTGGAATTTATCCAGGGTGCTGGGAAGTTTGTATGATGACTAGACAGAGGAATTACAAATACTCGTCCTGGAAACAAGAAAGTCTTTGAGAATTAGATAACTGTATTCAAAACTCTTACGGATTTTAAGCAGTGTTTATCCAGATGCAGAATCAATACGTGGAAATATTAGGAAGTCAGATTTGGATTCAGTGGAAGAAGCTATGTCTTGAAATAATGAGTTACTCCACCCCAGAGAATTTCAGCTGAGGTTGGATGATCAGCCTGTGTTCAGTGGAGGCAGGGACTAGATTCCCTTTCAAACATAAATTTATGCTAGCAAAATATAGATAAGATACATACGAGTTAGTACAGAATAACTAACATTGTTTGAATACTGAGAGGATTCAGAGTAAGGGAATGATTAAAATTGAGTAAGATGAATACGGGAGGTTTCTGGAGAAGAATTTTCAGATATGCCTTTAAAGGCAATAGTGAGGGCTGACCAGTGCACTCAGTTGATTGAAAGCCGTCCTGCAAAGTGGAGAGTTGCTGGTTTGATTCTCTCTCAGGGCATGTGCCATACGGGAGGCAATTGATGTTTTACTCTCACATTGATGTTTCTCTTTCTCCCTCTCTTCCTCTCTCATAAACAAACAAACAAACAAACAAACAAATAAAGACACCAATTAGCCTGAATGAGAAGGGAAGTCACTTGAACTGTGTGTGTCTGTGTTGTTTTGAATAATGAGTAGAAGGAACAATTAGCAGGAGAGGGGACTAGAGATATGGCTGGCATTTTATAAGCTTTTCTTTGGAAAGAATAAGCAGATTACCCTGGGGTTAGCTCTATTAATTTAATGGATGCTTTGGTTAGAAATCACTGGGCAGAAGTCCTGAATTGTTAGATAGAAGCTCTTAGCATTATTGAGTAACAGTGTTATTTAGGGGTTTGCAAGGTGTGGTAATGAGGTCATTAAAATTTTCTATCTTAACATACTAAGGTTTGGACAATCAATCTTTGAGTCTTAATCGATATGCTTAAAAACTGCTAGCCATCTAAAACTGTATGCTAATTCTGTTTAATGTTCGGTAAACTACAAGTTCATGCTACCATTTCTTAATTATATCTTGACACAGAGAACTTTCTGACCTATTTTGCTTTTGAGCAGAAGAGTCCCACGTGTGGCTTGGCTTGTTTGATTTGACCCTTTTACCCACAGGCATGACTCTTGAAGAATCTGTCAATTTAGATGCTCTGGATAAATACCTGAAACATCTTGAAGATAAATATGCAGAAATTAAACAATTAAAGTCAAAAAAATATGTACCAGCTCAGAGAAAGGCACATTTAGAGGAGGAGATGATTGTGATATTAAAACGGCGAGATGAAGCTGAAAATGCCAACAAAGAATTACAGTTTCGGTATGCAAGTTGATTATATATTTTTTAAGTTTGAAGCTTTTATTTGTGTTTATTATAGTATTCCACTATTTCATTTTAGGTTCAGTATGTTGATGTTTTTATCTTTATAGTCATCAAAGACTGCAGATTATTCTTTATGCACTTACTTCATGGGTGAAATCTGATATGAGCAGCTCATTTCAAGACTTCATGAAGCAAATGGAGAAAACTAAAGATTTATATGGTAGTTTATCTATATATTTAATTAATACAAATAATGGAAAGCTTTCCTCCCTCCTCCGCCCCCATACACACAGAAAGCAAAAGAGTGAGGATTTTCCTAGGCTGAGTTTAAGGAAAGCAAAAATGCACTAATTCTGGTAGGTCTCTGTTACCCTGTGGGAATCTTTTCAACAGATGATTAGTAAACAGTAGACTTGGTGAGCTAGAGACATGATGCTTGAAAATGTACCTCAAAATAAGGAAGAAGGGGAAGGGAGGCCACTCAGTTTAGAAGAGAGTGGTGCTAGTAGAAACCATGGCATTTAGTTGTTGGCGTCAGACAGCTACATGCTTATTATTTTCTGTTGATTTAGAGCCTTAAATGTTACCTGATGGCTCTTTCAATATTTATAGGTGACCAAGGCATTGTTGAAGAACTATGGGAAGATCCAAGCAAGGCAAAAGAAGCTGAAATTCTGCTTTACTACATTGAAAGGCACATATTTTAAAAGCTTTTATTTTTTCTTGTTAAAATAATGTTGCATTTATTTAATGTGTTTAAATACATATTATTTTATATTTCATATTTATTTATTATTTAGCATTTTGATATGCTGTAGCTTCTAGCTTTTGTATCTTTAAAATCTTACTCTAGTGGATAAACTACAAAATAAGCTAGAATTTAAAAAATAAATTCTTTATGACAAAAATACTAGATTGGTAGGCTAGGAAGTATTTCAGAGACTATAGGTGGATTGTAGTGTTGATTTAACTTTTATTTATATGTTTCCTACATTGCTTCACCATCAACTTGATGTTACAAAATGTTTTTGAGAATGTCTTTTTTTTTTTAAGATTTTATTTATTTATCTTTAGAGAGGAAGAGAAGGAGAGAAATATCAATGTATGGTTGCCTCTCGTGAGTCCCCTGCTGGGAACTGGCCTGCAACCCAGGCATGTACCCTGACTGGGAATCGAACCGTGATCATGTGGTTCGCAGGCCTGTGCTCAATCCACGGAGCTACACCAGCCAGGGCTGAGAATGTCTTCTTGAGTCATCAGATTATCCTAACCAATTCAGGCTTTTTTTCTCATTATTTTTATCCTATGGCATATTAAAAAGGCATATTTTTGCCCAATACTTAAGTTATTATATATAGTATATAATAGAAGCTCAAGGAAATTTAAGACTTCATATTTTTCCTTTTTCGTTTTAATTAAAAAGTAATCATCCCATCTTATTAACAACACAGGAGTCCCAAAGAGGGAAAAAATACTATCGAACACAAACAGGTCAGAACAGAAAATGGTGCCACGTGGGGTCATTGAGTTTTTGGAACCACCGTTTGCTCAGCCACAGACGGGGGCTCAGCTGATGTTTCATCCCCGCGCCCCTGCCAGGGGCCCCCGGGGACTGCAACGCACAAGACTTTATTCATTGAGAAGTTAGTTCATAGGCCATAAGGTCCATATGTAATGAACATGCGTAATATTCCTAATCTGACATATTAAACAATTTTAACTGTTTATTTGCATGTTGGTATTGTATAAATAAGGAGTGAGAATTATTTTGGGAGACACCAAAACCTGTGTTATTTCCTTACACAGTATTCCTCTCTGAGTCTCCCAGCTTTAGATATGAGAGAAAACCCTCGGGGTTTTTGAGGTTAAAAGTTTTATGTATTTTGCATAATATTACTTTGGTGTTTTAATATAAAACACCAAAAGGTATTTTATGAGGTTAAAAGTTTTATGTATTTTGGTGTTTTTCTCCTCTGGGGTTTCACATTTATTTGCAACACTGTGTAAATCATGTTTGCCATAGGTTTATTGATGGTAAGGTAAGGGCTGATTTGAAGACATTCTGCCTGAGGAAAAGGAGTAGAAGCTTAAGTTATTTGAACTGTTCTCTTTTTTTCTTGTGCTAGTCTCATATTTAATTGGGATTCTGATGCCTGGCAGAGCAGCACAGGCTTCTGAATACCAAGGAGACCTCTTGATTTTTCAACTTGGCAGTCTTTGTGTTCCATTATTGCAATATTTCCCCTAGGTGAGCTTCTGAGCAGTTTGCCCTTCTTTTCCCTGACTCCACCTTTTATCCAGAGATGACATGGGAGAAAAAATCTGAGCTCATTGTAGTTCACCTCAAATGCTGCCCATTTTCTAAGGCTTGTTATAAATACGAGAGGAATAAAGTACAGGATCAGGTTCAAAGTCAGCTGGTAGGTGAGAGTTTTATTCTAAGGTTAGAAGAGTGACAATACTAGGGGAAAAAGTGAAAAAACATCTTACAGAGTGAATGAATCTAATTATAATTTATTAGATTTCCTTGTCTATATTACTATGCCACTATGTTTAGTCTGTATCAGGCATTTCTAATCTGTTTTCTTTTTTGTATACTTTTTATCATGTATAATGAAATACAACCAACTGTAGGTTCAACGAATTAATCTCACTTGGTGAATATGAGAAGGCAATTTGTTTTGCAGCAAGAAGTCCTAGAAGAATTCTTCAGAACATTGGGACAGTGGAAAAATTTAAGGGTAAGCATAGAATCCTCTCAGCACCTTATATATGTATGCAAATTTTACTTTTTCCCTGTGGTACAATGGGAAGAATACTGAACTGGGAGACTAAAGATCTCAGCTCCAGTCTCATCTCTACCATTTCCTTAGTTTCCTTAGCTATAATATTAAAAGTTTGATTAGGTTATCTAAGTTAAATTATGAGATATTTTACATATACAGAAAAGTATGGAGAAACATAACAGCCATGTACAACTATCAAGATTTAATAAATATTAGTATTTTGTCAAATTTGTTCCAGTTCCTTTTATTTTTTTTACTATTAATTTTTTTTTTATTGAATTTATTGAGGCAGTGCTGGTTAACGAAATTATACAGGTTTCAGGTGTACAGTTCTCTAATATGGCATCTGTACAGTGTATTGTGTGTTCACCGCCCCAAGTCAAGTCTCCATCCGTTTACCCCCGGACCCTCCTTTCCCTCCCTGTGCTCACTCTTCCACTTCCTTGTAAAAATAGCTTTGTTGTTGGAAGTTGATATACATTCAACAAATTATACCTATTGAAAGTATACAGTTTGGTAGGTTTAGGCATGTGTATCACCCCAAATTTCCCTCATTCCCCTCAAGGACCCCTCTCGCCTCTACTTCTCGCTCCACCCACCGTCCTCTCCCGCAGCTTCCCCTCTGGTCCCTAAGCATCTGCTAGTCTGCTCTGCATTTGCTAGTATTTTATACAAATAGGATTATATAGTAGGTATTCTTTTGTGACTAACTTCTTAAACTCAGCATGATTATTTTGAAATTCATCCATGTTGTTGTACTTATCAATAGTTTACTCTTTTAATTTATGAGTGGTATTCCATTGTATGACATAAGTTCTTTATCAGATAAATGATTTACAAATATTTTCTCTTAATTTGTGGCATGTCTTTTCATTCTTTTAACAGTATCTTTATTAAGGTTAGAAATTTTTGATTTTGTTGAAGTCTAATTTGAGAGTTTTTTTTTTATGAATCGTGACATTGGTGTTGCACCTAAGAAATCTGTGCCTAATCTGCAGAGATATTTCTCCTAAATTTTTATAAGGCTTTTATAGTTTTAGGTTTACTTTTAGGTCTGTGATGCAATTTGAGTTAATTTTTATATATAGCACGTGGTATGTGTCATAGTTTATCCATCAGTTGGTGGTCATTTGGGCTGTTTCCACTTTTTGGCTATTTTGTAGAATGCACCTGTGAACATTGGCACACAAGTTTTTGTGTGGACATATGTTTTATTTCTCTTGGTTAGATCCTTGGGAGTGGAATTGCTGGGTTACGTGTTAACTGCGTGTTACTACCTTGAGGAACTGCTAAGCTGTTTGTACTGCTTTCCATTCCCACCATCAGTGCATATGGGTTCCAGTTTCTTCAGGTTTTTATCAGCACTCATTAATCTGTGTGATGTGGTATCTCGGAGTTTCGATTTCCATGCCCCTGATGACTAACGAGGTGGAGCGTCCTTTCAAGGATCTATTGGCCATTTGTATGACTCCTTTGGAGATATTTCTTTTCTTTGCTCGTTTAAAAGTTGTAGTATTTATGTTTTTTATTAATGAGTTGCAAGAGTTCTTTCTGTGTTCTGGATAAAAATCTCTTATCAGGTAGATGATATTCAAATATTTTCTTTCAGTCTATTGAATTATCTTTTCACTTTCTTGATGCTGTTTTTTGAAGCACAAAAATTTTTAAACTTCATGAAATTCAGTTTGTCATTCTGTTCTTTTTTTTTAATTTGTTAATCAAGATTTTTATTTTATTTTACTTATTTATCTTTAGAAGGGAAGGGAAGGAGAGAAGGAGAGAAATATCAATGTATGGTTGCTTCTGACGCATCCCCTGCTGGGAACTGGCCTGTAACCCAGGCATGTGCCTTGATAGGGAATCAAACCACAATCTTTTGGTTCGCAGGCCCGTGCTCAATCCACTGAGCTATACCAGCCAGGGCTTTATCATTCTGTTCTTTTATGGCTGTTCTTTAGCTGTTGTGTCAAAGAACTCTGTCTAACTTAAGATCCTGTGTACTCTTCTAAGAGTTTTAGAGATTTAGGTCTGTGATCTACTTTGAGTTAGTGGTCATGCGTGGTGTCAGGTAGGGGTCCACATGTGTTCCTTTGCATGTGGGGATCTAGTTTCCCCAGCACCATTTGTTAAGAAAAAGACTTGCCTTTACCCATTGAATCTTATGGCTCCTTGTAAAACAATCAGTTGATCAGGGTTCATTCTATTCTGTTTCTCTAGATTTTTAATCCTATGCCAGTATCATACTGTCTTGATTACAATAGCTTTGTAGTAAGTTTTGAGATTGGAAGTGTCCCTCTATCTTTCTTTTGATTAATATTAGTGTAGTATATTTTTTATACTTTTAATCTATTTGTGTCTTTGTTTAAAGTCAGTGTGTTCTAGCTAACATACTGGATCCTACTTTTTTATACAGTCTGAAAATGCAATTTTAGATCACTTATATTTAATGATTATGACGTTGTTGATTTTTATTTGCTTTGTATTTTCCTCAACTCTTCTTTGTTACTTTTTCTCTTTTTTGCCTTCTTTTGGATTAGTTTAATTTTTATGATTCCATTTTTTCTCTTTTGTTGATTTATAAGCTGTAACTTTTTGTCGATTTATTTGGTTGTTGCTTTAGGGTTTATAGATAAGTCTTTAATTTTTCACATATCACATGATATATAAAAACAGAATATTTCTAAATTTTATATTGGTAGCATACACCATTTTTTGATCTTCATTCCTTTGTGTAAATTTGTATTTCTATCTGGTGTCATTTTCTTTCTGCTTGAAAGACTCCCTTCAGCATTTCCTATAGTACAGGCCTGCCGGTGGTACATTCCTTCCGCTTTTTCAAGTTCCTTCCAGAGGCTCTGAGGGAGATTCCACTCCACGCTTCTCTCCTAGCTTCTCGGTGGCTGTCAGCATTTTTTGGTATCCTGAGCTTATAGACACATCACTCCAATCTCTGACTTGTCTTTCATGTAGCACGTAAGGTTTAGTCATTATTCCAAAATATAAAGTTTAATACATAAGCATTAGTTAAAAATTACAAATATGTACTTTTAGATTAATTTTTTTAGAAAATGCAAGAAGATGAAAGTAATATGAAGTAAGAAAAAGCAAACTATTACTTAAAGTACTTGACATAAAAACTGTTCTTTTCTGTGTAGCTGTTGGAAAAATTAGAGGAAAGCCTTCTCCATTACTCTTATTTTTTGAGGCTGTCTTCAGCACAAGTCATGCTCATAGACGTCCTGTTAATGCAGAACTTACTCTGGAAGGAGTCAAATGTGGACTGTCTGAGAAACGTCTAGATTTAGTTATCAATTGGGTCACTCAGGAAAGGTAAGCAAAATTAAACTTTTAACTTAATTTTGATATTTGGTTAAGGAAATTGTTCTTAAAAATTTAATGGTTTTTCTTATCAATACATTATTTGAGCATTTATTTCAGGTCTCTATTACAATTAGAAAGTGTTTGTACTGGGCTTAGTCACAAATGATCAGGAGTTGACTCATAACAGTTTATAAGATGATACATAACCACTTACTGATGGATGGAAGTTGATCAGTAAGGATAGAAAAGGATTGATTAGTATCACGCTGCTTAGAGGAATAAGGCAGGATTCAGCTTCCAGATAGGCTGTGGGTACATGTAAAGGGTAAACCGAGGAGAAAATTTATAAGCAGGAGGAACATGGATCAAGGCAGCATTTAGGAGAACATACAAACCAGAGAGGACAGGCAGGAGGAGGCTTCTTGGAGCTGGGTCTCAGTACAGGTTGACAAATTAGTACCAGGGTTCCCTTAGGTTGGGTTCCCTGGAACCAAAGCCTGAAGCAGGAATTTGGGTGCACATGATTGATAGAGGGAGGCCTTCAAAGAAAATGTGTAAGTGAAGCAGAACAGGGAAGGGGAAGAGCCAAGCAAGGATATGATCTCAGGCATGTTCTACCCTTGGCCTTATTTATAGAGGGGTGACTCCAGAGTGTGAACCACACCGCAGAGCTAGTTCACCTTGAGGCAAGGGGCTGGCAGTTTATACCTCTTTATCAGTCATTCAGGGGCTGTTGGCTGCCCAGATGGAGTGGGAGCACTTAACTTCACGGGCATGGTGGCTCTCACCAAGCAAGGACAATTCACTGGAAGGGAGGGACCTGTGAGCCACTGTCAGTCAGTTCTCAGAGCAGTTGAGGATGAGTACACTGTCCCAGTAAAGAGGGCTTGGGCACAACAGGAAAACAGCATCTACATCAGATGTCTATTTGCATAACACGGATCTGTTTGCTTCTCACAGTAAGGTCACTCCATCCAGACACAACTTTTCTAGGATTCTGTGGTCATAATTCTAGGGGAAGCTTAAAGAAGCTTGCCCTAACTGATGTCGCTCAGTTGGTTGGCTGTCATCCACAAGGTGAAAGGTGCCCGGTTTGATTCCCTGTGAGGGCACATGCTTAGGTTGCAAGTTTGGTCCCTGGTCGGGACCAAAGAGGAGGGTTAGTGGGATGAATTATATAACCCTTGTCATTATAATTGGTTCTATAGCTGTAATTTGTTTTTTACAACTTTATTAAGATATAATTTACATACAATAGCCTATACATATTTAAAGTGTACAATTTGATGAGTTTTTTTTAAAAACAGCATTATGGAGATATAATTGACATATAATAAACTGCATGAGTTTAAAGTGTACAGTTTGACAGGTTTTGACCTATGTATATGCCCATGAAATCATCATCACAGTCAAGATGATAACATGACCTTCAAATGTTTCCTTGTGTCTCTTTATAATGCCTCTTCCTTCCTTCCACCCCCTCATTTTGCACTCCTCCCCATCTCCAGGTAACCACTGATCTGCTTTCTAGAATTAGTTGAGTAGATTAGTTTGCTTTTTCTAGAATTTTATATAAATAAACTCATACCTTATGTATTCTTTTACTCTTCTTGGTCTGACTTCTTGCACTTATGATTGCTTTGAGAGTCATCAGTGTTAATTAGTATTCATCATCTTTCTCCTCTATTACCCATTTTAGATTCTTTTCACCCTTGCACTTCCTTCTGTTGGTCTTGATGGTTTGTCTGGTGGGTTGATTTTGGTAACCATGCCTTTATCAAACATGGTTATTGGTTTACCCACCTGCAGTTTTCATTTGGCATGGGACTACTCACAGATATCCCCGTAGGTCACCTGCTTCCTGTAACAGACAACTATATACCATTCAAAAGTCAACTATTGGGTCCTGCTGAAATTGGAGTGTTTATCCACAGAACATCAATGACTGCAACTAGAGCTGCTCATCATGAACTGGGTTCTGACAGACTCACCAAGTCATAAGGTCAGGTAGGCTCACAAGAGCCCATTCAAAAGCAGGTACAGCCAAGACCAAGTTCAAGCAGGTTTAGAGCATATAGGTAAGCTTCACGACTAGGTGGCCCAGAACCTACGCCAACTGCCACTGAAGGACTGACACCTCCTGCACAGCTCTCACCTGTGGCCTCGTGGGGTTACCTAAGACCAGCAGATAGTGGCATAAAAAAATGAAACTTGGTTCATGGATGGTTCAGGTGGTAGTCAAGGTGGAGTAATATCCTTCAGGATGAAGTGTACTCTTTAAACCAGTGACCATTATATAATGCTGTATCCCCAAAGGTAGAATACTTGGGTCTGAAAAGTAAAGAGTGACTGTGCTCAACTCACTAGTAGAAGCCCAGTTAGAGAGTGTATTAGTCAGTGTATCAGAGAGTGTATTAGAGAGTGTATCAGTCAGAGTGAATCTGTTCTCTAGAGAAACAGATTCAATAGGATATGTATATTTCCTGTACGTATAGTATAAGAAATTTGCTCATGAAATTATGGAAGCTGAGAAGTTCCAAGTTTTGCAGTCAGCAAGCTAGAGATCTAACAGAGCCGATGGTGTACATTCCAGTCCCTAAGCCAGCAGGCTCAGGACCTGAGAAGAGCCAATGCTTCTGTTTGAGTCCAAAGGCTGGGAAAGACTGATGTCCCAGCTGAAGTAGCCAGACTGGAGGAGTTTTCTCTTATTTGAGGGAGGACTGGCCTTTCTCTGCTATTCAGGCCTTCAACTGATTGCCACCCATATTCAGGAGGGCTGTTTTCTTTACTCGGTATACCAATTCAAATGTTACTTTCATCCAAATACATCATCCCAAACACACTCAGAATAATATTTGACCAAATATCTGGGCACTCCTCAACCCAGTGCAGTTGACACATAAAATTAAACATCACAGGGAGTTTGTGCTTCCCATGCCCACGTTAGGCTCTGTGAGTCTGGGGGTCCTGATTGACTTTGATTATCATGAGAAGGCAGGACTGTTTCTATGTAACAGGGCAGAGAGGAGTATGTTTGGCACTCAGGCTCCCTGTTCCCCTCAAGAGAGCATGATATTTGGATGTTGGTACATGTCATTTACTGATAGACCACTCCTTGGGGAATTTTGTAAGGGAAGCAGTAGGTAGGATAGAAAAGGGGAAAGAGCCAAGCAAGGACATGAACTCAGGCATGTCTAGTGTTAGCCAGTATTAAAGGGAGAGGGGCCATGGAGCATAAACCATACCGCAGAGCTGTTTCCCCTTGGTTATGGGATTGGCCCTTTGTACCCTTACTGGTTAGCCATCAGCTCTAGACCACTGTGGGACTGAGAGATAAGCATGATCTTCTGGGCGAGTTGGCTCCAGTGAACTGAGAGCGATTCTTCAGAAAAGGGGCATCTGTAAAGTATCTGTAGTCAATTGGAGAAGGCACTGGTCTAGTAGAGGAGACCTGGGTGAGGCAGCAAAACAGCATTACCAGCTTATGAAGATCAACATGGGGGGAGATACCAGCTTTTGCTGGGTCTCTGTGCACGTGGTTTGGGCTGTGAGTATTGGAAGGCAGAATGAAGAAAGGCATCCCTGTCATCACTCTAGTAGTCATGGCCTGCTTGTTTTGCAGCCTAAGGGTTATGCTTCCTTAACTCTGAATGCATGGGGACATACGGTACATATCAGAGAGTTATAGTTATCATCTTTAAAAAGTGTATTCACCCTGACTGGTGTGGTTCAGTGGATTGAGTGCTAGCGTGCAAACTGAAAGGTCACAGGCTCAAATCCCAGTCAGGTACACACTTGGTTTGTGGGCCAAGTGCCCAGTTGGGGGTCTGCATGGATATTTTCTCTCACACATGTACGCTTCTCTCCCTGTCTTTCTCTCTCCCTTACCCTCTCTCTAAAAAAATGAATTAAAAATTAAAAAAATTAAAAAGTATATCATAAGGGAGGTGGATGGACTAATGTAAGCACTTCCTAAATAACAAAGTCATGACTTAGAAATGTTCCAAACATAAAAATGCTGATCTGCATACTGCTGACTGCTGCCACCTATTCCAAACGCACCTCTTTCCCTGCAGGACTCTGGGTAGTCCTGAAGCTCTTCTGGATGGATGGCACTACCGTTTACCAGTGCCAGGGGTCTGCCTCCCACCACCTCTGTACTGCCCTCAGTTACTGGGCCGTCACATAATTCTGTTCTAGGAAACTTCTTCTGTGTGTACCCTTCTTTTTACTCTGCCTCCCTTATTTCTCTGCCTAGTTAGACTCTGTGCCCTCTACGAAAAGAACTTGCTGGGGAGCACTGGTAATGTTCAAATGTGAGAACATTATCAGAAAGTTAGTGCTCACTACCAACACCTGTTATGAAGTGCAAAGCTACCTCAGATAAGTTTAATTTCCTTACATATACTGATGGTTCTTGATCTATTCTACCTCTTAGTTGTAAGAATATAAATTCTTGCCCAGGTCAGTGTGGCTCACCTGGTTGGGTGTCTTCCCACAAACCGAAAGGTTCAAATGGGCACTTGGCCCACAAACCAAGCATGTTCAGATTCTGGTCAGGGCACATGCCTAGGGTACAGTTTCAGTCCCAAGTCTGTATGCATATGGAAGGCAACTGATCAATGTTTCTCCCCCTCTTTTTCCCTCCCTTCTCCTCTCTCTTAAAAAAATCAAAAATTAAAAAATAAAAATTAACAAAAGTATAAATTTTTGCTCTGGCAGGGTAGTTCAGTTAGTTAGAGCACTGTCCAGCTATGCCAAGGTTGTGGGTTTGATCCCTGGTCAGGGCATAAATTGGGAAAATACTACTGCTTTTAAGGATTCTGAGATGATATAATAGAATATTCAAAACAATTCACATTCTTTATTCTCAGCCTCTCTCCCTTGAAGCAAAGAGTCAAATCAGTGATTTGAAATATAAGAAGACAAAAAACACCCATTGAGAACAGCAAGAAGAAAAAAGAATCCAAAAAAATGAGAATAGTATAGGAGCCACTGGGACAACTTCAAGTGCTCCAATATTCATGTCCTGGGGGTGCCAGAAGGAGAAGGGACAGAGCAAGAAATGGGAAATCTATTTGAAAAAATAATGACAGAAAACTTCCCAAATTTGGTGAAGGAAATACAAATACAAGTTCAGGAAGTGCAGAGAGTCCCAAACAACCTGAAGAAGCCCACACCAAGACACATCATAATTAAAATGCCAAAGGTTAAAGACAAAGAGAGAATCTTAAAAGCAGCAAGAGAAAAGCAGTTAGTTACCTACCCATAAGACTGTCAGCTGATTTCTCAAAAGAAACATTGCAGTCTAAAAGGGACTGGCAAGAAGTATTCAAAGTGATGAGAAGCAAGGATGTACGACCAAGATTACTCAGCAGAGCTGACATTTAGAATCAAAGGACAGATAAAGAGCTTCCCAGATAAGAAAAGCGTAAGGAGAACATCACCCCCAAACTAGTGTTACGTGAAATGTTAAATGGTCTAATTTATGAAGAAGAAAATAAAAAGTATGAACAATAAAATGGCAATAAATACATATCTATCAACAATTGAATCTGAAAAACAAAATAAATAAGCAGAACAGAAACAGAATCATAGATGCTAAGAATGTTTTGATCATTGCCAGATGGGGGGGGGATGCAGTGGATGGGCAAAAAGGGTGAAGACATTAAGAAGTACCCATTGGGCCCTGACTGGTGTGATTCAGTGGACTGAGTGGCAGCCTGTGAACCAAAGGGTCACTCACTGGTCGATTCCCAGTCTAAGGCCAGGTCCCCAGTAAGGGATGCATGAAAGGAAACGACACATTGATGTTTCTCTCTCTTTCTCCCTCCCTTCCTCACTGTCTAAATAAATAAACATTTTTTTAAAAGCAGTACCAATTGGTAATTACAGAATAGTCATGGGAATGTAAAGTGCAACATAGAAAATAGAGTAGCCAAAGAACATGTGTGCATGACTCATGGACAAGGACCAAAGGTGTGGGGATTGCCTGAGGGAGTGGGAGGCTGAGTGGAGGGGGACAAAAGGGGAAAAATTGGGACAAGAGTAATAGCATAATAAAAATATAATTTTAAGAAATAATAAAAATGTTTATCAAAAAAAAGAAACTTGATCTTAATCTCACCAAAATGTCTTCCCCCAAAGGAATACATGCTGATTGTTTTTGTTCTTGCTGTTAAATTTTAGATGCATTTAATTTCTTCTATATTAATTTCCTACTAACTTGGAATTCTTGAAGACCATAGAAAGTCCAGTGTGATTCTACCATACTGAATTCTCAGATACAGTGGTACCTTGGTCTTCATCATTAATTCATTCTGGAACTTGTGATAAGTGCTGAAACCAATGAGTACTGAAGGATCAGCATTTTCTCATGCGGGGCAGCTTGGTGACTCATACAAGTTCTAGCTTGTGTGATGAGTCCTGAGCAAGCACCAAGGGCTAAAACATTTTTTTTCTCCTCAAAATGCAAGGAGTACAGGGTTTGATAAGCTCCGAAGCCAATGAGTACTGAGGAATGACTATACTTCATTTTCGTCCTGTCATCAAGAACTCTCAAATATGTGTCTTATCGATCTCCTTGCTCTAGGCTCACATTTTCTGAGGAGGCTGGGGATGTGATTTGTGCTTATGGGGAGCAGAATACTCACAACAAGGCCAAGTGCTTGGCTTTAGCTCAGATTATCTACAATGAATGTAGCGTGCACAACAAAGCTGTACTTTGCCTGTGTAAACAGGGTCAGATCCATGAGGCCATGCAGTATATACAGCAATTAAAGGACTTTACTTCTGGTAAGTAACAATGCCTACTTACGTGAGTACATTCAAATTCTGGATTTAATTGTTTGATCACCCATGTTAGTGGGCAATATTTTGGCTTTACATTATAAAATCTGTTTTACATATACTGATAAGTACATTTTTTTTGTAATATTCAGGAAAACAGTTAAGCTGAAGCTGATTGACCTTCATGCTTGACATTCAAATACATTATATATTTTCTCAGTACATAAACATTTAATAAACAGGATGGTCCTAAAATATACATTTTTAAAGATAAATTTTGCTGATATACCATGCTACTTAAAGGATTTAAGTCATGTGTAATGTTCTGAATTATGATTTATGCATTTGAAGTGAAGAATTCATGAAATAAAATTCATTTCAAAATTTGAAACACCTAGGTTGCAACTGGGCAGTGATCTGGGAGAATTGTGGACCTTTCAGGGTGACCCTAGTCGAATCATCTGATCTCAGTACAAACCCAGTTCAGCAGTAACGTCAGTGTGCAGGCAGTCCCGGCCCCTCCCCACATCCCGGGCCTTTGCCAGTCCCAGTGTATGGGCTGTGTACCCGAGTTGTAACAAGTTGCAAAATGAGACAAAACATAGCACTTTTAGGTCACATTTTTTTAGGAAAAAAGATATTTTATGGCTGTTGAATCTGATCATTTTCAAACAATAAATTGACTTTTACTTAGGATCTTCTTATTACAGTTACTATGTAACTCTTCATTCACTATGTAACAGCATGCCTGATACTGTTACGATAATAGCTAATAGTTCAGCTTTTTACATGCCTTATCTCACTTAACCCTTATGTTAATTGTGAAGTAGGTTTTATTATAATCCCAAATTTATAGATTAGAGAGGCTAAGGCGCAGAGAGATAAGTAATCTGACTAAATGCATACAATAAAAGAACAATCTGGCATAATAGGAACTACTCAATATTCATTTTATATACACTTTCAAATTATATATTTTATTATCTAAGTATACAGATTCAATTTTTGCATTATTACTTTTCTATAGGTGAGAATTATTTTAGGGTTTAGACATGGAATATAGGTTTTAATTACTCTTGGAACATGATTATTCTGTTTCTGTAAATGTGCATTAAACTTTAACTAAATGTATATTGTAATAATTAAGAAGTAATAACACTCCTATATAATTATAACCTTGATATTCATCTGCAGAATTTTTTAGTATAACATGATAAGATGGAAATAATAAAACCTGAGAAAAACTAAGCTTAAAACATAGAAACACAGTCTGACAAATTACTTTACTAATTTATTTTTAATGAGAAACAACCACAGCTTTCCAAGGCATCATCTTTTCAAGGCCTCAGGAGAAGCTTTATTTCACAGGAGAGATATATTTCACTAATACTTTCTGTTTTCAGAGAAAAGTGTTCTCTTTCAAATTTAGACTATTAATAGGCTTTACATTTACAGTTTTTAAAATTGATTTGAAAGACAGAGAGAGAAACTTCAGTTTGTTTTTCCACTTATTTATGCATTCATTGGTTGATTTTTTAATGTGCCCTGATTAGGGATGGAGCCCACAGCCTCAGAGTGAGACAACACTCTCGCCAGCTTAGCTACCTGGCCAGGGCCTACATTTACCATTTTTTTTTTTTAAAAAGCAGTAAAATCTTAGAAAAGTCTTTTGTTCTGAAAGCATAAATCTAATAGAGTATCTGTTTTAGAAGTAAAGAATTGTTTTGTATTTTCCCTTCTAATAATTTCTAAAATAAAGCCTGAAATGATTTGTTTGTTCCATTTTCCATTATCATGAAGCAAATAAATGTATCTATGTGGAAACTGGGTTGTCCTAGACCTGATATGATGCTCTCAAGCTTTCTGGTCGTAGGTCCCCTTCACACTTTTAAAAAGTATTGGAGCCCTGGCTGGTATGGCTCAGTGCATTGAATGCTGGCCTGCGAACCAAAGGGTCACTGGGTTGATTCCCAGTCAGGGCACATGCCTGGACTGTGGGCCAGGTCCCCAGTAGGGGGTGCACAAGAGGCAACCACATGGTGATGTTTCTGTCTCTCCTTCCCCTCTCTCTAAAAATAAATAAATAAAATCTTTTAAAAAATAAAAAGAAAAAAGTATTGGAGATTCCAAAGAGCTTTTATGTTAGTTATATATGTTGATATTTATCCTGTTAGAAATTAAAACAAAAATTTTAAATATTAATTTATTTGTTTAAAATAATAGTAATAAACCTTTACATGTTATCATAAGTGAAATGTTTTATGAAAATGACTTTCCAACAGTAAATAGTTTCATAAAAAGTGGCATTGTTTTATATTCTTGCAAATCCCTGTAATGTCTGGTTTATTAGAAGATTGCTGGCTTCCCATATTCTTTTTGCTGTAATATAACATGTCTTGTAGCCTTGTAGTCTCTCACATCACTGTACACTTGTGAGAGAATAACAATCAGAAAGTCAAGTAACAAGTTAGTATTTTCATGAAAGTAGTTTTGACCTTATAAACCTGAGACCATGTTTTGAGAACCACTGTTCTAGGTAATTGTGAGTTAAACAAATACCATACTTGGTATATAGGCCCTTATAGTCTTATCAAAACATAATATTCATGAGCTAAATTATGATTAATAACATGTCAAACCAAGGAATAAGAAAATAGATTCTGAAGTGTCATAAGCAGTGGGGGAAGGTCATAGGATATGGTCTGATTAGTCACAGACCATATCTTGCATATAATTGAGTAAATATTGGTTAATCAATCCACAGAGAAGGGGATTCAAATACCAGATTGAATGAAGAGAGATGAGCGAGAAAGGAAATGTTGGAGGCTGGGGTGTGCTGTATAAATAGCTTCACCTTAGTGGGGGATAGTTTGCGTGACCCAAATCATAATTTTCTGTCTCTTCCCCAGGGAATTTTTTAATTGTTTGACTTCATTGATATAGAATTATGTTTTGCTCTTCCTTGTTTCCTCTTCTGCCATTTCTCCCTCTTTGTGCGTGTGCACGTGTGTGTGTACATACACCCATTCAGTGCACATACACACATTTATCGTTTTGGAGAAGCAGTGCTACAGGTTGGAAGGTCACGGACTCTGGGGATCAGATGAACTGTTGTACTTTACACCATGCGTATAAGCTGGGAAGGTAACTTTGCTGAGCCTGTGTCCTCACTTGTAATATGAGAATGATAATATCCCACTTATACTGAATATTACATGCAGTGATTTAATGTGTGTAAGTTCCCACTACAATAAGTATGTGTTTAATAAATATGAGTTACTTTGTATTACCTTTCAAAGTGCAAATTATGTTTATGATAGTTCTTGAAAAGCTCTCAGAAATTATTCTGAAAATTACCTGTGTTGTGGTCTAAGAAGAATATTTTTACTTTAAAAAATGTAGAAAACTAACACAAAGTTTACATTTTAAGAATGTAAGTCATGATTGTAGGTTTAGATTACCTCGGTGGTTAATAATAGATTGTAAACCATATAAAATTGCTTTTTACAGAGTAAAAAATGGTCAAATGTAGGCAACTTCATATGGCTCAACCTCTAGTTGCTTAAATTAGCTATGGCTTCTTAAAATATTCATTTTTGAGTTTCTAAATTGTGGCGGACCCTGGCTAGCAGAGTCCGCCTGTTGTGGCTTACGACGAGAATCAGTACACAGGTGCCAACAACCCTGTGTGGAAAAAGGGAACAGCACGGCCACTCTCTCAAGGGGAGAGGGCCTGTGGTGCCTCGGCCACTCTCTCAAGAGGGGAGCGCCCTGACCCTTATCTAGACGGGCTTTTATTGTTTTCTTGGGGTCTTACATCAAAGAAAGATTTATTATCTATTACATAGAATGTTATTGTCTACATTTTAGGTACAATCAAGGAAATGAAAATAACATGCAGAGGGGAATGGCGATGAGCTGATTAGCTCTGTCCTTGGGAAACTCATACAGGCTTTGGAAGTTACCTTGAAGATAGACAATACACATTTGTTGTTTTAGACCAGGGTGATGGAGTTTTAGCAAGAGCAAGCCATAGCAATCTGTATGCATTTTCTAGGCCTGATTCCCACGGGAAAACTCGGTTGGAGGTCTGGCTCCTGCCCACCACTTCGCTTCTGTAGGTTTTCCATACAGAGCTGAGTCACATTTGCCAGACCAAGACAAGCTGGTCCCCTACACTAAATACTTGATATTTTTTTAAAAATTATTGATGCTCATTTTCTGTGCAAGGCACAGAAAGAAAGATGTTATATTCTCCAGAAGTTTGCCCAAATATGAGCAACAAGATACAGTCAAACATAACATAGAATATGTAGAACCTTAGGAATTGGAGGTTGTCTGCACTTTTAAGATGCAGAAACTAAGATCTAAAAGATTAAGTGACTGATGGGGCACTGATGAGAATTCTGATTTCCTGATTGACAGTCTAATCTTTTTTGTTGTACCGCATTTCTTTTCATGGTAGTTCTTTGATAAATTTCTTTCTGGTGCTGTTTGTAAAATGTAGCTTTTGTTTGGTTTTTGCTATGCTGAGCATGACTTTTGGGGGGTGGGAGTTTGAGGATAAGTGCTATCCATTGAGGGCTTTGGGAGGACTGGAAAACGAAGTGTTGATTAGCAGGTATAAACACTAGCTGGTTTCAGTTTCTAGTGTCATATTAGGATATTGAGACATAGTTTTTCATTTTTGCTTTCAGATGACCTAATGCAGCTAATAAAGTTATGTCCCCACAATGAATTAATTTGGTGTCTCACTAAAGAGTGGAATGGAAAACCACCATTATTATCTTTTGGTCTTGTTATACTTCATCTTTTCTCTGTTGATATGAAAAAAGTTGCCATCAAGCTACTTCAAGAAGTAAATGAAGGTGGGAAAGGTACGTAAAATGTTGTGGGAGGAATGGTAGTGAGTTGTTTAGGGAAAGGCTCAAGATTATTATGTTTGAGTTAATTCAATCTTTTATTTTTAGAGGACCTGGAAATTTTATTTTTTTCTATTTCTTATTGATTATGCTATTACAGTTGTCCTAATTTCCCCCCCTTTTTGCCCTCCACCCAGTGCTCCCCAGTCCCTCTGGCAATCCTTCCCTCTTTGTTTATGTATGTACATGGGTCATGCATATAAATTCTTTGGCAACTCCATTTCATATACTTGCTCTTAACATCCCGCCGCCTATCCTGTAACTACCAATTTGTACTTCTTAATTCCTTCACATTTCCCTCATTCCCCCAGACACCCCTCCCCACTGGCCACCATCACAATGATCTCCATATTATGATTCTGTTTCTGTTCTGCTTATTTGCTTAGTTTGTTTTTTACATTCAGTTGTTGACAGTTACGTATTTATTGTCATTTTAATGTGCATAGTTTGATCTTTTTCTTAAATAAGTCCCTTCAACATTTCATATAATAATGGTTTGGTAATGATGGACTCCTTTAGCTTTACCTTGTCTGGGAAGCATTTTATCTGCCCTTCAATTCTAAATGATAGCTTTGCTGGATAGAATAATCTAGGTTGTAGGTCCTTGCTTTTTATCACTTTGAATACTTCTTGTGGGTCCCTTCTAGCCCACATTCTTCACTTTCTGAGCTCCTTTCCACGTAGCCTTTAATGCATGTTAACCTTAGCAAGCAGGAGATGATTGGAGGAGTGGGGAGTGAGAAATGGTAGAGGGTGAAACTGAAGCCTGAAAAAGTTAATGGAAAAGGTGGAGAAGGAGTGACCGTGAGCTGGATGAAGCACTCCCCATTACATTGAAGGGACCCGGGTACAGGAATCAGCTTTGAAAGTAACTGAGTTGAAGTGGTATTGTTTTCTTTTTTTGAATAGTTGCTACATGTGGATTATCCAGTAGGAATAAATGTCATAGTATAATATTGTGGTTTTTTTCTTAGATGCGATACAACATCTTATGATGAACAATCCATTTTGCTGCCTGGAAAGTTGGCAAGAAGTGGCAAGGATATGTTTACAGCACGGCTTTGACAAATTATGTGATGACATCATGTCCGTTCTTCGATCTCAGGCTGGAGTTACCGAAATTTCTGAAAAGGAAGACACCGTCAACTTAATGGAGCATGTTTTTTGGTAGTTCTGTCTCTTACCCAGTTGAGGGAGCTTCTTCAACATTTTATGTAGTTGGTTGGGCAAACCGATTTTTGAATAACTAACTTATAAATAAATCTAGAGTATGAAGCTCTCAGAAGTAAATCATGATTCTGTTGTTATAGTGACATTTTGATTTTTTTTGAGACATTTATATTATTACTTCTTTTTTCTAAATGGTCATTTCTTATATTGAATCTTGATAAAATCCAAGAATATAACTTTGTATAAAACTCAGTTTAGGTATCGAAGGACATAAGCTAATGTGTAAATAATGCTTGTTTCTGGTCATCTAATTTGAGGGCAGGAACTGAGGAAGGTGTGATTGTGTCCTGTCTATTAGACAGATTTCCCAAATACCAAGTGCCACAAACGTGACTTTTAGCGAGAAAGACAAGATGTCATTTCAACGTCAGACTCACTGGTGAAAACATAGAGTATAATAATTTTTTACTACTAATTTAAAGATGTGCTCCATGGAGTGGTATATATAAATGGCAAGGGTGAGGCTTCTCTAGAAATTGTCTATCTTAGCGTGTTCTTACCTAAAGAGAGGACCAGACAAATTTTGCATAGAAGTAGACCTGAGATATCTGTAGGCACAGAAAATATGTCATAAAAAGTGGTTGTGGATGATTTCAAGTATCTGATTATTTAATTAAAAACCCAATAGTTCTGTGTCATGAACAGGTGTGGTATTCAAAATACTTAATGATCACTATGCCATGGGCACCGGTTAAACAGAGCAGATACCCAACTAATCGGAACAGCTTTCAGCCCTGGTGCCCCACAGGAGCAGCCCAGCTGAATGTTGGCCTTGATCATGAAACATGGTAAAAATGAGACTAAGAGTAAAGAGCATAAGCTTTCCTCTCCTATATTTAAATTGAATGTGTATTTTTTATTTATACTGGAAAAAACAATAACTTGGAATCAGAGAGCCTTGTATTCAAGTTCTGGTACTATCTTTTAATCTTTGTAAGATATGAGCAGTGATATCACCTAAAAGTTTGTCGTGAGCAGTAGTGATATATATGTGTAACATAAGTATATAACATAATGGAGGAACTTAGTAGACGATAACTGTTATTTTTATGTAATAGGTCCCCCAAACACATATTCCTCCGCTTGTTTATCTTTACTAAACCCTGTGTATCTATCTACATATTGACATACCTTATTGCCTATATTAAGCCATCTGTCTACACTAATGTTAGGGGTGCTTGGATTGTCTTTTAAATCCAGGAGAATACTGGCTGAATTCTCAATTTTTCCATATGTTGCTAATACAGTAATAGATAATTGTAATTCCAGTTTAAAAATGTAACATTTCTTAAAGTACATGTAGTTTAAACAGCAGTATATTAACTACAAGGCTTATAATAACTAAAAATATCTTGATTTTTGGCCTTCACATTAACTGTGATTTTTTGAGAAAAGATGAAGGATGGAAAAAAGAAAGAAAGATTATTTCAGTAGCATTGATTCTTTATGTACCAATGGCTTCAGACCTTTTTTTCTTTGAAACTTGTATGATTGATAGAAAGTTATTACATGTCTATTGACAGAACTTGGCAGGGGGAATGTGCCCTTGAAAGCCTGCCGGAGGAAGTAGACGGTAAATCTGGGAAAAGTTTGAAACAGTACCTGCTGTTGCTGTTACTGTTAATTTTGCTTTGGTTTTAAAATGTTTTTCCTCCACTCATGATTATTCCTTCTCTGCTAGCCTTACCTTTGGCAGTTTTCCAAGGCAAGAGAAACTTGTCAAGTGAATATAAATTAGAATGCCTGGAGGTAGAGTTGGGAGAAAGAGCAAGAAAATAAAGTCCAGTGGGGAGAGGAAAAGGGTGGGCTGTGAGCCGTACAGAGTGTGGGCGAGGTCAGCACGTCCCCATCGGCCGCGCTGGGGCAGGTGCAACGGGGCCTACCGCCAGGAGCCTGCGTTCCAGGCCGGCTCTGCCGCCTGGCTTTACGCCCTTTTCCTCACGAGTTTGTTTTGACTAGATAATTCCTCTTGTCATTTACAACTCAAAGGTCAGTAATTCCACAAAAATACATACACTTTCCAGTGCTTTTCGAACTTCTGCCTGAATTTTAAATAGCATGATCAGCATCAGCATCGACAGCACACACTGAACACCTGTCTGTGTGCGGGCGCGTCTATCAAGATTACAACTTCAGTGTGAAGACTCAGCATATTTAAAAAAGTAACAAACAATAATTTTTTAGTATCATTTAATATCTAGTTGATATCAAATTTCACCAACTGCTTAAAAATGCCTTTTTATAGTTGTGTTGTTCCATTTAGGATTTAAACAAAGTACATGTGTTCTTTTTTGTCATTGTGTCTCTGACTCTAGCAGGAGTGACCAACCTTTTTGCGTCTCTGGGCCACACTGGATGAAGAGTTGTCTTCAGCTACACAGTAAATACATTGCAACATGTAATCCCCCCAAAATCTCATGATGTTTTAAGTGAGTTTATGATTTTGTATTGGGCCACATTCACAGCCATCCCTGGGCCTGCGGGTCGCAGGTTGGACCCCCCCCTGAATTCTAGAGTATGCCTCCTCCCCCCCTTTTTTTTTCCCTCCTATGGGATGGCCCGGCTTGGTTGTTACAGGGAATATTTCACACCCTGTTGTTGTCTGATTGTTTCCTATAGTGTTAAGTTGTTCTATTTGCCATATTTCCTATAAATGGAAGTTAGCTCTAACGACTTGACTAAAAATTTAGATTCACCTCTTTTGTCAAGGATACTTTATAGGTGATACCGAGTACTTCACATTTTATCAAATGTTTGGTTGTCTCATCTTGTTGTTTTTTGAGATGAGCCCAAAATCCTCAACATGCTTTTAAAAAGCCCTGCAGAATCAGGGTTCTGGCTGCTTCTACAGACTTGTCTCCTGCCGTACTCCTCACTTTCTTCCAGCCAGACACTGGCCTTCCGTCTGTTCCTCTTGTAAAGGGCTTTACAATACGCTGCTTCTTCTACCGGGGGGTCTCCTCTCTTCTTTTTACCTAGTTAATAATTTCTATTACTTCAGTTCTTAGCTTAGTTAAAATTTCCTTAAGGAAGCTTTGACGACTTCCTTAATTATGCCAGTTTTTCCTTTTATAGGCTGTCTTTTATTGCCTATCACTGTTCATAGTCAAGGACAGTACTTTTTATTGAGGGCGAACACCACACCTTTGGACGGTGTGGGAGAGCTGGGAGAGTTACTGTGTTTTCTTGGGTTGTTGAAAGCAAAGTCCCGGGAACTTGAGTGGCTTTTACCATCAGAACTGTAGATTTGTGTGATTGCTTTCTTATGGTGGTGCTTTTCAACTTTTCATCTCATGGTACATGTAAACTAATTACCAAAATTCTGCAGCACACCCCCCAAAATATATTTTTTGCCAATCTGACAAAAAGGTATAATTTTGATTCATTCACTTTAGATGACTATTGTTTTGTTGGCTATTGTCATTTTTTTTAATATGACAATCTAAGGGAAGAGAGGTCAGTGCCCTAACCAAAGTATGTATTGCATGTTTAAAAAATTTTGCAGCACACTGGTTGAAAATCGCTGCCTTTTGGTATTGTCTGAGAGTTCTGGAGGCTTGGCGTCAGGTTGAGACGTTGGCAGGGTTGGTTACTTTGGAGGACTGGGAGGGAAGAATCCCTTCTAGGCCTCTGCCTCTGTCTGTGGCTTTTAGGTTGCTGTCGTCTCTGTGGCTCTTGGTCATCTTCCCTCTATGGATGTCTGTGTCCAAATTGTGTCTAATAAGTGCCAGTCATATTGGATTAAGGGCCACCTTCATGACCTCATTTTAACTCGTTCACCTCTGTAAAGATCCCGTCTCCAAGTAAGGTCACACTTTCAGTTTTGGGGGTTTGGGGCTATGACATACGGACTTTGGGAGGACACAGCTCAACCCATAACCATTGCTGTTATGTTACCCAAGTCTCACACAGTAAATTTCAGTAAGTGATTGAGTGAATAAATGCCTAGGCTGGACCTGGTAACTTCCATATTTAATGCTGATATTGTGAATTAATTTAACTCTTGCTTTATTTGTTTGTAAATTTTGTTGGTATATAAATATACATATACATAATAATACATTCTGAAAAATACATGGGTTATAACTGTACAGCTCAATAATTTTTCACAAAGTGTACAGTGGCCCCTCGGTAGTTGTCCGGAACTTGTGATGAGTGCCAAAATCAACAAGTACCAAGTGATGTAGCATTTTCTCATGCGGGGCAATGCCATGACTCCTACGGGTTCCAGCAAATGCAACGAATCCTGAGCAAGTGCCAAGTGCTGAAACGTTTTTCTCATCAAAATGAGATGAGTATCAGGTTTGACGAGATCTGAAGCTGACGAGATCTGAAGCTGACGAGCACTGAGGTGTGACTGACTGTACATTTGTGTAACCAGCTCCCAGGAGAGGAAACAAAACGCTCCTGGAACCCTAGACACCCCTTTCCAGTCCCTGTTCCTCCTCCCAAAGATATCCCGACTTCTCATCCCATTTGCCAGATTCTGAATTTCATAAAAGTGAAATCATAATGTATTTATTTTTGTGTGTTTGCTTCTTTTGCTCTTTATTACTTTGTGAGATTCTTCCATGTTGTGCATAGTTGTTCATTCTCATCACTACTTTTCACTTCATTGTTTAAGATACCACAGTTCTACAGTTGATGGACATTGAAGTTGTTACCGGTGGGGCTAATACACACTCCACAAACAGTCTTGTACATAAACATACGTGTGCATTTCTGTTGGACTCCTGCGCTTTTTTAGGTTGCATACTGATATACTGAATATTAGGTCATACTAGTAGCTATACTTTTAAGGGTCAGCACTACATTAACGTTTGATCTGTAACATTATTCTCCTCTGACAGCCGCAATGAAGAAAGCTATATAAATTCTGCACTGGGTTAGAAATAGCCAACATTAGTCATATTTTTCTAAACCCATGACTTTTTAAAAAAATATTTTTGAGCAGTTTCAGGTTCACAGAAATACTGAGCAGAAGAAATGGAGGTTTCTTGTGTACCTACTTCCTCGCCTGTGCACAGCGTCCTCCATCGTCAACA